CATACCTTACCAATGAAAGCTATTTCCTCCATCTTAAAACTGTATTATTTCTGCACAACCTCAGAAATATTTGAGAATACAGTACATACAATTTAAAAAAAAAATGTTTCACCAAGGGAAAAAAAAAGTAAGAATGCCAAAACTCAAACTGAAACTCTTCTTGGCTACTGCTTATCAAGCTGCTAATGTTTCCCATTTTACCGTTCTTTTCTTGACAGATATTTAAGTATATGCTAATCAAACCTATCATTAAAGCCAAAACTTTCTCCTAAAAATGTGATTGGGGAATCAAAATATTTAAACTAACTAAAATGATTTTATTTTTCTTAAAAAAGAGGAAAATGAAAGCTATTGCTTATGAAAGAGATTTTTCATCTTTTAATCACATCTTTATTCCTCATTTTCTCTGCAAGAGATTTCTAGTTGTGTTTTTAAATCACCAGAAATAGCCTACATTTATAGAAACTCAGCAGGTATTCCCAGTTATTAGAGTCAACAGGGGAGAGGCACAACACAAGGCCAGGGTTTGGAGCCAGTTTCCTGGGCAAATTGAGAAGATGTTCCGTATTAGTCAGTTACCTTCTGAGAATGCTCAAGTGTAATTATACTAGTGGCACTTGACATTATAAAATGTTCTTTTCTTTCATATATAACCTTCTACCATCATTAGTAAATGTCAAATGTAATGAAGTGTTTTCTACTTCTTTTTCTTCCTGATGTAACGAAAGAAAATACTAATGACTTTGTAATTCTGAAATTGTTCTCAAATCCAAAACCAATAGAGTCAACTTGGTGTCTATTAGCTTAGTCCTATTCTTTATATTTTCTGTGCATTTGGAAAGGATATTTCCTCTGTACTTCAATACCGTATTTCCCCTGCTTGGTACAATTTCTTTTTTCTCTCTGAGCTTTTAAGTGACAAATACCTCCAATTAGATTATGTTTCTGGGTTCAAATCAGAATGGTGTTGAGAATCTTGTGCCTTGCTGTGACTTAAGTACTATCTAAAAGCTTCTATTTTTTTTTCTTGAAAGCTGTTTTTTCCCACTCTCTATTTTTAAACTTTGATATATAATGGCTCTTCAATCCTGTGGTTTCCAGCAGTTTCCTGTAACATTTCAGTCATAATATAATAGGGTCTCAATTTCCGCTCTTTCAAAGATTAAGTACACTCACAATGTGAAATTGATGCATTTTATAACACTAGAACTTGTTTCTTTACTGTCAAAATAAAATTAACATCTTATGAAAAGGAGAAACCATCACTGGAAGAGGTCAAGAAGAAAGAAGTTTTCTAGTACAACAGTATTCAGTATCTGTGTTAAAAACATGCTTGACAGGAAGGGTCAGGGTCACCTTTTAGCAATGTCTGGAGTATATTGGCTGTTTTCCTCTATGAGAAATTGGGGGAGCTCTGTCTGGTGTACAGACAGGAGGTATGGGGTCCCCAACCTGTAAGAATGCTATTCAATCAATGCCAAAAAAAAATATTTTATCAAGAGAAAAAGAAAGGCGTGTAAAGTTACGTCACAGTGGGCAAAAATAAAAAAAAATTTAAAAAGTAAGTTACATTTATAGATAATATGTTCTGGAAAATATGAACCCAAGCCAAATGTGGGAAAGTTTTAAAATAGACTGACTAGTTATAAGGAGTTCTGCCCCCCAGAGACCTA